TAATTTTAGTCACTAAGCTTTTGTCTATTTTCACTACTAGTCCTTGAACTATTTCTCCTATTAACATTTTGGTACCCCTGATGACATCAAATTTTTTGTTCATGGCAAAAAATTGTAGGAACTATAACCAAATAAAATTTGTTAAAATAGACTAAAAATAAAACTGGAGAAAAGTTTAGGGACTAATAAGTAATAATGAAGCATAGTTTAAGATGATGAAGTTACCTCTCGATGATCTTCCTGCGCACTCTGACTACATTGGAAGAGAAACGGCAACAAATCCGGCCACTCGCCGGAGGGAACAGCGTACTTGGCGACGATGCTGACAACGTTGGCACTGGCTTTCCGAACAGGGGGACTGCAGAGACGCAATTGAATGAGATAACGAATTTGAAATTGAAGAGGTTAGGTTTGAATAGAAAGGTAATGAAACCTGTGCTCCATGGTGATGGTCTCAATGAGGGACTGCTTAACAAGCTGCTTGAGTTGGGGAGAGAGCTTGGCCCAGTGGCCGGTGATCTTCTTGCGGAGGAGGACGGCGGCGAGCTGGCGGACGTTGGGGGTTTTGGCGGTGCGCATGTGCTGGACGAGGGCGGGAACCACCTGGGGGTCCTTGGCGAGGCGCTTAATTTGGTCCTCTGCCTGGCGGCGGGCGTCATTGTCGGGCATCAGAAACTGAATCAGCAAAAGCTCAAGAGACTGCGCCATCGCTCTGATTCTTCTTCCTCTGCCTCCACCAAAGGTTTTCCCCTTTTGCTTTGCTTCCTATTCACTCACTCTCACACTTTCAGTTCCCAAGCTTTTATAGCGTCGCCGCAGCTTAGCGCACAACAATTCAGGGTTTTGGTTTTCGTTGCTACTAATGTTATGTTACTGTTTTATCTAATATTTTTACATCAAATAAATATTTATTTCGGCTTCTCAGTTCTCACATTTCAATTTTTAATCCGCCAAATTATCTGTTTTATCTATTTTTATTCTCTCTTTCATTTTCCGTAAGCAATTTTAGTATTTAACAAGTATTTTTTCCATACACTAAAATAGATACTAATATTTTATATTTTTTTTATCATCGAAAAAGATTAAAAAAATTATTATATCGGCATGCTTCTACCCAATCCAATCCGTTTGCTTCCCCGAAATAATGCATTTTGTAGTTGTTTTAAAAAGTGAAAAAATAAATAAAAATAGATAATAAAATAAGAATGTATAGTTAAGTTCGTAATTGTAAATATTAGTTGGGGATTAAAAAGAAAGTTTAAAAAATGTGGAGATCAAAACAATTCATTCTCTTTATCGATAGTTATAAATAATTGTAATAAAATAATATTTTAAATATAAATTATATTAAAACATCTATAATGGGAGTTCTTTATAAGTAATTCCCAACCACTTTAAATGGGTTTCACTGTGTCACGTCACTCATAAGTAACTCATATTATATTTTTACAATTTTTGTTCCAATAAAAATTGTTTATAAGCACTTCTACTTTTTTACAACTCATATTATACTTTTTTGACATCTCACACTACACTTTATGATAAATTTTTATAAAATTAATTATTATGAATAATATATAAATATGAATAATTAACAAATCAAAAATTACAATAATAAAAGAAATTACATAATAAAAAAAATACCAAAAATTATAATAAAAAAAACCAAAAATTATAATAAAAAAAAACCAAAAATTACAATAATAAAAAAATTACATAATAAAAAAATATATAAATTTACATAATACATAAAAAATATAAAAAATCACATCTCTTACTCACGTTTTCTTTCATTTCACTCACTCTTCGGTCTCTCTTTCTTTTCGGTCTTTTTCTCCACTCTCTCTTCACGGGGGGCTTTGTGGTGCGCAGGAGTCTGGGTGCGGAGAGGTCGCGTGCGGGCCGGGGGTCCTGACGCGCTGGGCGGAGGGGTTTGACCGGGCGGTTCATGCACGGGCCGGCGGGTCTGGTTGTGTGGAGCCGCGCGCGCGGGGCGGAGGGGTCTGGCCGGACGGATCCGCGTGCCGGCCGAGTGTTCTGGTCATGCGGAGGTGCGCGCAGAGGAGACGGTCGTGCGGAGGGTGTCGCGCCGGAGGAGTTGATCGTTTGGAGGGGGTCACGCGCGGAAGGGACGGTCGGCGGTCCGCACGGCTAGGTGGCTAAGCATGGCCGGAGGTGCAACTCCGACGACGCGCGGCCGGCGAAGACATCCCTCCCCGGACGGAGGAGGAAGAGGTGAAGGATGTTTTTCCTGTTTTTGTTATTTTCCAAATTTCTGTCCATATTCCACTTGGATTAGATTCAACCGATCAAACTTCTCTTCTTTAAATTTTTTAATGCTAAGCATCTTTCCTTGTACATGTAACTGAGAAAAAAATTTAAGCAACTGGTAGGATCACTCCGATGAGAGTTTTTTATAAGCTCCGTTACTTATTTTTAAGAGCACTTATTTTTAAGAGCCTATTTTTAAGAGCACCTCCAATGCTTAATGTGTTGATTATTCTTAAGCAACGATACTTATTAAAAACTCTCATCGGAGTGATATTACATGCCACTTGAGTTCCTTAAAATTTTTTCTGAGTTGCTTGTACAAGGCACGATGCTTAGTACTGAAGAGACAAATTTCATCGGCTAAAATGCATCTACGAGGAATATGGATCATATTTATGAAAATAAAAAAACCGAAAAAAACATGTTCACCTCATCTTCGTCTCGACACCCTTCGCACGACGGACCACCGCATGACCAGAACGGCTGGCTGGCGCACGGATCCAACCGTCTAGACCCCTCTGCCACGCACGCGGCTCCATATAGCCAGACCTGCCACTCGCGTGGGAACCACCTTTGGCCCGTGAGCGCTAGAACCACCCAGTCAAACCCCTCTGCCCCGCCCCGCGTGCGACCACCTCTTATATAATTTCTTTTTATTATGTAATTTTTTATTATTATTATTATAATTTTTTGTATTTCTTTTTATTAATAAATTTATTGTTATTACTGTAATTTTTGGTATTTTTTATTATGTAATTTATTGAAAAATTTTAATTATGTAATTTGTTTTAATTATTAGTTATTCATATTTATATATTATTCATAATAATTAATTTTATAAAAATTTATTATAAAATATAATGTGAGGTGTCAAAAAGTATAATATGAATTGTAAAAAAGTTGAGGTGTTTATAAGCAATTTTCATTATAACAAAAGTTGTAAAAATATAATATGAATTGCTTATGAGTGATGTGACACAGTGAGACCCATTTAAAGTAGTTGGGAGTTGTTTATAAGCAACTTCCATTGCAGATACTCTTAACATAATAAGCACTTCCATTGGAAGTACTCTTATAATTAAAAATTTATTAATTTAATATTTTAAATATGTAAATTATATTTTAAATTTATAATTGATAGTATATTATAATAATATATTATTTTAATTATTGATATTTTTTAAAAGGCATTAAAATTTAATATAAAAATGAAACTAAAAAATAAATCAAAAAAAATGAGAGGTCTTTTTTAATGTAATAAAGAGATGAGCGGTTAAAAAGTGTTTTTAAAATATTATCCTCGAAGAAAATTAATAAAATAGTATTCTCATTGAAATAGCTCTTAAAAAATATTTTCATTTATTTAATATTAATATTTTAATATGAGCAATTAGGCTAAAATTTTATTAAAATTTTCCCTTATAAATCTAAGAGACTTCAAATTTATAATAAAATTATATTTAAATATATAAATTATATTATATATAAAATTTATATAAATAAATATTTGTAAATATATAAATTATATTTTA